ACAGACAGACAGGAGGAGAGACTGAGAGACAGACAGACAGGAGGGGAGAGTCTCAGGGACAGACAGACAGACAGGAGGAGAGACTGAGAGACAGACAGACAGGAGGGGAGAGTCTCAGGGACAGACAGACAGACAGGAGGAGAGACTGAGAGACAGACAGACAGACAGACAGACAGGAGCTCTCTCGATGGACAGCATCCTACCTGCAGGGCCTCTGTTCCCGGCTGTTGTAGCAGCTTCACTGTGCGCCCCCCCGCCATCTTCTGGCCCCGCCCATCATGCCAGGTCAGGCTGCCGGCCGTCTTGCGGGGCAGCTGGTAGTTCAGATCCTCTGCTGACACCGTGTGTTCCAGCCCACTGCCACGGCAGAAGCTGAAACTGGAAGCAGCTGTGGGAAGCAGGAGAAGCCCCGTCAGACGTTGAAGTTGGGATACTTTAAAATCTCTCCAGAATGCCTAAAAAAAGGCCAAATGAAAGGAGAGACTTCCCATAAATATGCATATTTAAGAGCAATCTCCATTTGATTATACTCACTGTTGATATGTGTATGATCATCGAAACTGCTAATCATTGAGAATCCCGAGAATTCCCGGCTAATCTGTTCATGAATATTAATAGGGAGCGACCTTTGCCAAAATTCCTCAGCAGGGATTGGGATTTTTTCCCCTAGCGGTGACAGGAAGGAGGGTGGATTGCCAGATCTAGTTACCGGTGAAGAAAAAGCTTGGATCGGTACCCTGACATGCCGGTCTTTTTGCCAGATGGGTGCCGGCCATTAACACGCACACAGTGACTGCCGTCAGCAGAGCACAAGCCGGGCATCATGGGAAAAAAGGGCGGAAGTCCCAGAACCCAACCGAAATCCAGACAGAATCAAACGTTGTTGAAACGTTCTTTGATTTCTAAGATGTACCTTCAGTCACAGTGAATCAGAAAGCTTCTGTACGGTCCCCCCACCCCCACACTTTATTCACACGTTTGACTGACAGATGCTTGGATGTGAGATAGAGATAAAAAGTCCCACACAGGCTGCAGGGACACCTAGAACGACTGTGCTAATCTTCCCCCTCACGGGGCGTGCTATCCGAAAGAGCAGCGAAAATAGGAGTGTTCCCCTCACGATGTGCATTGGGGGTGGGGGGGGGGGATGCAGAGGGGGAATCCAGGCTGCAAAGTGGAAACCAGTCTGGCCTGGTTTGCTTTCCCTGTTATTTTGTAGCCAGACTGGTTACACATACAGCCTGTCCCACCTTAACTCGCTCAGCAAGAGCACTTCCCGAGATAAACACAGCACATGGCCACAACCCTATACTGTATGTCATGTTTAAGTGTCATGGATATTTATATACTCTTTATTACTGTTTCTTGCACGATGACCAATGAGATCGATATTTCTAATCTTTGCGTATGACACATGGATCATATAGCTGAAGATTACCACAGAGATTCTTTCACTTGACGTTTGTAGTTAGGATGCTCCAGTATGCTTCTGTATACCAGAACGCCGGTATATTCCGCCTCTCCATTCAGATTAGGAATGACTTTGAGTGACATTTGAATAAGGGTGGATTACTTCGGCATTTTGATTACTTAAGGTCTGCTAGTGTTCAGCCTTATCAGGGCAGTTGTGGCTCAGTGGGATTGGATGCTATGCTGGGACTTGGAAGGTCGCTGGTTTGAATCTCCTAGACCTTCTTAGCCCTTGAACCACACCCTTAACCACTTGTTGCTGTCTGACACCATCTGCTAAGTAGATGGAATGTGTCTGAGCTCTGATACATTTAAGGATGTGTGGGTTCTGTCTCCTGTTCCTTCCATGGATCTCCTAAGCGATTCCTGAGCTGACATCATGGACCACCCCCTCCTTTTCCCAGCGTCCTTTGTCCCTTCTCTGACAATCCTCTCCCCACTGCTCACTTCTGCTGTCTGCATCCACCAAGTACATCTCAGTGGATAAAGATGTACATGCACCCCTAATGATGGGGCTTTGTGGGGGGGGTGTCGGCTCAGAGGAGCTCCTGTTCTTCTCGTGGTTTCTTTGGTGAGGATTTACTCCTCAGCGGGGCCCTCTCGTGTAAGACCAGTCGACCGGCATTACCAACGTGATTACCAGAACACAAAGCACCCGGCAAGAGAGAAATCTTTAAATGGTGGGTGCCTTGACACTGCCACATATTGGGAGTTATAAATGGAGCAGGGGCTCAATAAATGCTGCATTAACTGCTTCTCATAAAAAAGGAAAGCAGATCCCACAACAGGGCGAAGCGGTAATGCGGCCATCTCCATAAAAGGTCTCCTCTTCCTTTCAGAGATTTTACAGGAAATCCTTTACAAGGAACCGATTCTGGATAGGCACCCTGGACCTGAAATCTTGGCCCGGTCAGCCACAAGGGGCACGGGGTGGTACAGTGGACGGCTGGACATGCTTGGTTCTGACGGAGGACACTATCCGTGGGATGGTGAAGATGGTTGAAGAACGATGGCGCGCTTTGTCGCCCTCCTCTGATAAGGTTGAATCAGCCTCCCCATGGCGATCTTACAGATCCCTGATCTCTGACAAATGATACATCGTTTATGCAACGAGACCGCAGAGAGTGCGCATCACTCCTGGTGAGGACTAAAAGAGCCTAATAGTGCCAAACACCACGGTCGGAAGAGTGTAACAGCGAAAAAGAAGTGATTCAAATCTAACCTTTACTTGATTTATTTAGTATATTTTTCCAAAACAATGTGCAATTTTAAGAAAGAATGGTCAGACAGTTTACTGGAGCAACTGGAATTAAGGGCCTTGCTCAGGGGTCCAATGATGACATCACTCTGCTGACCCTGGGAATTGAAACAACATCCTTCCTATTACAAGCACAGCATCACTGAGTCACACACTGCCCCCTAACTGAGACTCTTCCACTCAGCCCTTGTACAGGTCTATATTGTGACAGGCATTGATCTATATTGTGATAGGTACTAGTCTGTATTGAAACAGGCACTGGTCTGTAATGTGACAGGTATTGGTCTGTAATGTGACAGGTACTGGTCTGTAATGTGACAGGTACTGGTCTGTAATGTAACAGGTACTGGTTTGTAATGTGACAGGTACTGGTCTGTATTGTGACAGGCGCTGATCTGTATTGATTGAAACCTGATCAACATAATTGACCCAGGTTTACCAAGCTGATTAGTCTATTAAAGTCCCAAGTATTTGGATTAAAGAACTAGTTCAACACTCCAGATGGTGAAGTCAGTAAAGCAGCAGGTTCTGATAAGGTAGAAATTAAACTACTGGTAACACAGAGGGGAAAGTGGAGAAAGTTCTCCTTGTTTCCTGCTTGATAACAGGAAGTGGAACAGCACTGTGAAAAATGCAATT